TTCTGATGCTTTGGACCATGAGATTTTGCAGAAGTTTGCTAACAAATTCGGTGACAAGTTGTCGTAGAAATAATTTCTGTTCTAATTTAGTAGTTCCCGAACATTCAAGTCAACGAAGTCTAAGTCTGGTGCATTATCTCACTGTTACACACGTGTTGAAATAAATCATGGATTTCGCCAATTGAATTAGAAAGAACCCGCCGATGTGTTTTCAATTCACATTATATGATGCAGTGAGTCGCTTTTATTAGATGCACCTCGAAAATATACCGATGCTTGCTGTTTTGACTCATCTCCGCACCGCCACTCCGGACAATCCTCCATCCTTCCTATAATACTGCACCATCTGTGAAAACCTCCTTGGATCGATCCACAACGAGCGACGACCTCCTATGATGAACACCAGGGAACACTCTGTTAAAGCTACCCCAGAATTTATGGAAGAGTCGATTCGACAGCTACAGAATCAGATTTTTTAGGAAAAACACACTCAAATACGAGCCGAAACCACAAACAAAATGAATAGACCCTCGTAGATGAAGGATCAAAGACAACGAACTGAATAAGAGGAATTCAAGGAAGCATGGTAAAACTGGTGATATATAGATAAAAATAACAAATGGTTGCATTCGGTAGTGAACATCTATTTTCGATGAATATAATATGCATCACCTGTATCACCTGTAAGCCCGTTGTTCGTCGAGTGACTCGAGCGGGCGCCAGTAAATCTTCCATTTTTCCCTGTCGCGTGGAAGAGTAGCTCAGTGGGTTCTTCTCTCTCTAGAGACTCGTTGAGCATAATATCTTTCTTCTAGGCTTTTTGTGAAGAGCTCTGACCATCGGGTCGGTGATCCTCCTGCAGTGCATTTGACATACCGAGGAATCCAGTCATTAACAGCTGTTGTCCATCGGTTGTCATTCATACACATTACGTGTCCGGCCCACTTCATCTTCGACTGTTTGGCGTACGGAACGACATCTTTGATTGTTCGTCGTTGACGCAGGTCGGAGCTTCCCATCTCTTCCTTCACTTGTGTGAAACGGAATACTATTAGCATCTTAACCCTTCTATTTACTGCCTTTTTCTTCTTAATGGCAGGGTATGTTGTGAAATATAACTCGTGTGAAATGCTGAGATATTTGCAAAACTCCGGACCGCAGGTGTATGCAGTGGGGAACGAACACGCGTTGTTGTCCTTACCTGGGAGCAGCGCACTTCACCACCACACCATCCGGGTCCTTCGTCTTGCCTGTCTCTCAGCTAGTTCTATCGATTTTTTGCCATCAGCAATCACCCGTCAACGGGATTGAACTGGGGAGCCCAAATCCGCATTTAACCCAGTTAAGGCTCAGTTATGATCACAATCTTAACTGCCTATTTAGAAAAAGGCAGTAAATAAAAGGGTTAAGATTGTGATTGTAACTAAGCCTCAGCTTAACTGGGTTCAATGCGGATTTGGGCTCCCCAGATCAATCCCGTTGACGGGTGATTGCTGATGGCAAAAAGATCGACAGAACTAGCTGAGAGACAGGCAAGACGAAGGACCCGGATGGTGTGGTGGTGAAGTGCGCTGCTCCCTGATAAGGACAATAGCGCGTGTTCGTTCCCCATTGCATCCACCTGCGGTCCGGAGTTTTGCAAATATTTCAGCATTTCATAATATTAGCATCGTCTTTCGACTGTGCGTTCGATAACGCTGAGTGATCTTTCATCCTACTTACGCAGTGACCAGCTTTCTGGCGCTTAGGTTAGGGCAGGAAGTACCATTGAGTCGAAGAGGTGTACACGGAGTCAAGTGCTTTGCGTTCTCTTCACTACATCCTCGACGCTCTTGAAGGCTCCCCAAGCCGCTCGTTTCCTTCTGCTCAGCTCTGGAGCTAAGTCATTCAACATGTTGATTTCCTGACCTAGATAGACATAACTGGAGCGTTCGTAGATATCCGTTCCNGTAGATATCCGTTCCCATCAGCGTGAGTGGGGCATGCGTGACCAATCCATTCCTCACGAACATCGTTTTTGTGAGATTTAGTCGGAGACCAATCATTCCACAGGCTTTGTCGAAGTTGGCTAACCAAATAATATATCTAGTAATATAATGAAAGACATTCTGCTCAGTAACTGTGAGCTCATCATAATGGAGTCTTGTAAAGCTCATAACAAGTCATAAAAAAATAATGATCAATGAATGGTGGACTATAGTTGGATCTTCTATTTCACTTCTGCCACACTACTCGAATTTGCCAGTTGGTTTCCGTCATATTTCAATCACCGGAACCAATTCTTCGTGGAAAAAGTGTGAGGTATCTTTTCTGCATGAGGTGGTCTTTCCGTCTGTTATCAAGTGACTTGGATTAGGTTATCAAAATTTATTTCCTTTCACGCGCCAGCTTTTCGCATCACTCGAGATATATGAAGTGCATTATATTTTCCTTTTTGTCTTGAGTGTTGTTAAGAGACCATAACTCCTTGGGCAATAACCGAACCTATACACAACTCCGAAGGTCTTCATGGATGAGGCATTGGAGGAAACGAATAGAATGTAAGAACAGCTAACAGCTGGGATCTCCACAATATGTGATGCCGTTTCGTATAAAAATAACAAAAATTGATTTTTAAATTTTAAAAACCGAGTTACCGATATCAGGATCCGCCGCCGTCCTGGTAACAGACTGACCGCGTGGTGGTAAATCTCCCTCTGATCCACAAGGGTGGCGACTGCCTGTGGTGGTGGCGACAAGGGGTAGACTTTGGCCTGGTTGACCTCGGAATTTCGGGGAACCACAATAGCTAACCCAGCAGAACTCCGAGAACACGGAGATTATGATGTGGCCCACAAACCAGTGAACAAGCCATCCAAGTATACAAGTAGGAAAAATTCGACTTTTGCTTCACTTCGTCATAGTAACAAATAATTTCATGGATAGCTACGCTAACGCTGGGTAGGAATAAAGTTTTATGAAGCCTACGTACACGTATATAAACGCTCACGCATGTCGAACTTTTCGGTGTTGGAATTGCGCGCCACATCATTTCCTAATCAGTGCTCGATATTATACCTGTGATTGCTATTTCTGTCATATTTAATAATTCTTGGCCCATTTTCGAGGATATGCTTCATAATGACACCAATCCACATTCATTGCACTTTCAATGATATTTAACAGAATAAATGAACTTCTGCAGTGTTAAAAACCCCTAATCCTCTACACTCTACATTTCGAAAGCACTCGCTCTTATCTTTTCATTCGATTTTGCTGAAACGAATAACACACCTGCATTCCTTCATTAAAGAAAACACTAAACGTTTCTTATGTTTCATAAAGAAAACACATAGCAATCTGAACTTTAAGATAACAAAGTGCTTAAAATTCATATCTGTTTGTTAACAATATACATATGGCAATCCGAAAATTTCAACTTAATTTGAATTAGAACCCTCACGTCGTGACGTCCGCCGCCTTCTCCTTGGCGTCAGAACTTCAGGCTTCATTGGAGTCTGAAAAGCAACGACTACTGTAGAAATCCTATTTCGAATTACAAATTAGCAACAACGTATGTAAAAAACAACAAAGCAATACCGTATTTGGAAGGGTTTCCACGAATTTCGTGCCACCCTTGCGCTCAGGCGGATTCCGTGCCGGAGTTCTCGTTGGATTTAGTTGCGCTGTCGACGTTGTGCTTGAACCAGATCGATCAGGGTGTGGTGTCTGCGGGTTTGGCATTGTCGTAAATGGTAGGACTCCTGGAGGCCACAACTGCATAGGATCTACAATCTATAGATTAACGAAAATGTCCTTACTATTTGCCTACACAGTACTAAATTCTAGTATCTTTGCTACTACCAATCGTATGTTTGAACATAAAAAAGTACAGAAAACACAACACAGTACCATAGCACTGCCCTGCTGGTCCTCCCATGAAATATGGTAAGGAGTAATTTTGATATGGCCCTAAAAATGAATGTGAAGAAGGCGAAACATAACATTCTGATAAAACATTGTTTCAACTACAAGAAAACAAACGGAACGGCCGGTCAATTTACCTCGCCATTTTACCCGCATATGGTTCTCTGAGCCATACACGAGATCACCTCTCAGGTTATTTTTTTTCCCGCACGAATCTTCTGTTATGAGAAAGACAAAAAACGCTCACCGAGCTTAATTTTTGGCCTATATGCATCTGATGGGAATTTTTCTGCCTACTCTAGGCATAAAGGAAAAAATGCTTTGTTGACGATAACCGTTTGGATACTTGAACGGCACGTCCTCAATAGTCGCGCGCGCCCCAAACCTGCACAATCACCACTTTTTTGGAGACTTGCTGGTTTTGCCATTGCGGATCCCGGGAATCCCGAGGTCATTCTGGGCAAAGTCTGCCCTAGGTCTCCATAACCACAGTCAGGATCAGAAGGAGATTTGCCACCATGCAACTAGTATGGCACCAGAACGGTGGTGGATCCTGGTATTCGTGTACTCTCAACTAGGTTTCCTGATGAAAAAGCCAGACTCCTTTTTAGTTTGGAAAACCTTGCCATGAATTGATGAATTCCACCGCTGTACATCACAGACCGACGTCCAGAAACACCTCCTAGCCACGATGAGGTGGTAAACCGTTGGGAAAGGTGATAGGAGTAAAGCATAAAAAAAGCTCCAGGCGTTGATCAATCTCTAAGGGATGCGCTATGCATTCGACTTTATTAAGCATCGTTTTGAGCTGATTGAATGCATATCTAGTCTTTACAATGACTCGTGGCACACCGACGTATCGAGGCGGTGTTGCTATTCTCCCAGACTCCCAAAAAACTCGTACCAATTTTCCCACTATGGTAGATGGAAGGTTTGGTGGGCCATGGGCGCGGAGATCGATTCCACGTGTATGTTACAGGACGCCTCCATCCGCCGCGCCACAAACGCGATGAGAATAACACCCGATATTTCTACTCTTGAAAATAATGAAGCTTTCTCGGCTGTATTACTCATGTATGACTCATATGGCGAAAAAAATTTTAGGAATTATGAATGCATTAAAAACACAGTTAGGCACAAGTTTTGCCGAAACATGAACGTACCATATGGGAAGTTCAACGGCGGAAATCCAGTAGAAGTTGGTAGTGGTCGCGGATAAGGTAAAGACCCAGGTCCAGGTGTTGGTGGACAAGGTGGTCGAATCACTGTGGTAGAACCAAACTCACTACCAGGTCTCATTTGAGAAGACGAGTAGGGAGACGACTCCACTGGTGGTTGAAGCAGTGGAAGATTCTCCGAGTGTTGAGGGTTGCTTAAAGCATGAATATATATACATGTATATATATATATACATGTATACACATGCAGATATACATATATATATATCTTCTCTTCAGCCATTAAGAAATGTGGTAACCGTACCCTAATGAATAGAAGTTGGGCGCGTGCGACGTGGGTCCATGGCTCGATTTGGACGAGCAAGGCTGAAAGTTTTTACAACGATTCAGTTGATCAGGAAGTATACTTCATGTCGCATTTTAACTGTTTAAGGAATGCTCCAAAAAAACTTGCAAAAAAAAACCAATCTTAACAGAGTTCCTCCGACATGCTGTAAGGTATCAAACTTATGTTCAACTCAAATTTATCACCTTTTGGGAATGAGACAAATTGTAAAGACATACTGATGGTTACAAAGTATTTTATCAATTATGATAGGACTGCGGGCCAGGTAGCACAATGCTAGTGATGCCAGTCATATGAAGTATAGTGCTTGTTCAATACCTCCCTGGCCTCATCATACATCTCATCCCTCCGGGGTCAAAAAATTGGTACGGGACTTGTCAATGAAAAAGAACCACTCTCTGTAATCCAAACGGGAACGGTCCAGCAAGGCTAACTCAGGGGTTCAGAAAGAATTTCTCGACCAGCATTCCACGACATTGAAGACGAACTGAAAATCCACAAGCAGCACTCGAAACCACATGTAAAAGTTGGAACACCTTAATGGACGGCGGATGCGAGGAAACGAATCTAATGTGAAAAGTGCTGGGATCCACATAGCAGATGTGATGAGCTGTATAGAAAACGCAGAGGGAAATAAAAAAGGGACACGAGGAGAAAAACGCATTTTCTGCAAGAAAAGCTATTTATATCACAAAGCGGTGTACCACATCCTGGTGGCACCAATAATTAAGGGGTTTACAGGGGAAATACTACATTAAATTGGAGTAAAAGTCGAGATACACTGTTATAATTTTTAAAAAAATGGACGAAACTCTCTCTACAAACACCGAAATCTGGTTGCCCTCATGAGTTTTTCAAGTTAGAACAATTTGAGTTTATGAGTGCTCTTCAAAAAAAAAAACACTAACTCTATTGTAGAATAAACTAGAAAAAAAATACCTGCGAGTGAGATGGAAGCAACGGCGGTTTCGGACGCCGAGTCTGAAAACATCAGCGTTATCTAAAGGATCTAGAGCGCATCAAGAGAAAACGCGCACCACTTTGACAGCGGTAGGAGGCTGTGGTGGACTTTTTTCAAGCAGTTCCGCTTGCCTACTTCTCCAGGTGGGTGACCGAACAGTAGATGCTCTTCGAGGTGTTCCATCATCTCAAGAAAGGATATAAGCTCTAAGGCACTAAATTAGTAAATCATATGAGTACAAAGGTAGTCCAATAAATCGCTACTTATACCCGATACGAGCACAAATGCACGGGCAACATCGTACTTCCGGAAAAACTTCCACTCGTTTCTCCATTGCTATGATCAGATCCATGGTCTTATTCAAATATGGTGACACCCGCGAAGATCATTCCATACTACTAAAACCGCTTCCATCTGCAAGTGCAGATGACCGACGTTAGCCACGACCACGTCCACCCATTATTTGGATAATCTTCCAGGAAGACGCTTCGCTCTGTTAGACTCCACTCCACTGCTCTTCCCGTCCATTCGTCACAGGTTATGACTATTCGTTCTTCTTCTTTCCTCTTCTTACTCTGCTAATTCTCTTCTTCTTATTATTATTAAGACTCTTATTACGTGACCAGCAGATCTGTGTTTCGATATCAATGTACATTCACCCTGATCCGAAGTAGGGAAAGATTTCAAAGATCTGAGTTGCGCATTCCAGTTAGACTTTGTGAGTGTAGGTTAAATTTCAGAAGACAACGTTCAAGCGCTCCGTATGTGGCGCACTGATTTCTCGTCATAGTTGAAGTATCACTCTATGTCTTCTAAATATCATAACGCTGTGAGGAGTGTTGAATCGAAAAATTGAACGCGGAGTTTTGGATCAATTAGTTGGTCGGCGGTTTCTTTGAGAGGCTTGAATGCGGCCCAAGCTGCACTCCTTCTTCTGTCTAATTCCTCTTTCATGTTGTTTCCCATTTTCATTGAACATTCAAGGTACACATACGAGGTGGATTCCATAATCGGAGAACGATCCAGCTCCATTTGTCCGCCTTCGCAACATGGCTCTTTCATGGACTAGATCCTCTTCCGATTTATGCGTAGTTAGACCATTTTCCCCACATCGTTGAGTTCTTTGAGCATCGCCTCTCCTTTACTGGTGATTCAAGGTATTCAATATACAACAACGACAATATCTGTGAACAGTCTGTAGAGTACACTCAATAAACATATTGGATGGCTAAGCAAATTTTGAATCACGTGGTTCTCAAAGGGTTCTAGAAATAAAGTGAGGAAGGAACAATAATTTTAAGGTAAACAGGAAAAAGATCGTAGAAAAACATTTGATAAAAGACGATTAAATAGAATAGAAATGTAGAGTAGTGGCTGTTTGACTAAAACCACATCCCACGGGCACCTAGAACCTTAACCCAAAACAGAAAAAACATGATAAAGCAACTGCCCAGAAAAGGAAAAACATCATAGGACCCAGTGGCGCCCTGTTGTGGAAGTCAGCGAGCAAACAACGACTCCAAAATTTACACCCACCTCTTCTACCCCACCGTTCTTCCTGTGCGTTTCCACTACCAACTTGGACAGAGGCTACTGAGCCTCTACGATCTATGCTCCGAAAAACTCGAGCATAGGCCGGCCTGGAAATATGCAGATCTATTGGAGATGGATTTCAAATGAACGTTCGGCTCACTGCGACGATGTCTTAATGAAGAATGTTCAAAGCTACATTCACCATGAGCGCTTATGTCCTAACATACCTTGCTAGCTTCCATGTACCTAACATCAACCACGTTCACTTTTGAAAACACTTCATGTATGGCATTGTCACTTCACTAGCAAAACATCTATTAAAAAATTGGAAATTTTGCGGAATTCCGTCAAACGGTGTCACCACAAGTAGAGCATTTCAAAACAGGAGCAATTACCATAGTTGGTAATTCTACGCCACTTCTTCAGAAGAGACATTTCCTGTCAATATGATTACAGAATGACTTCAAACTCACTCGTCGTCATCCTCTTCGTCGTTGACTAGAGGTGTTCGTCGAGTCCCGTCGCTGTATTCAGAAGGGGATCTCATTATGGTCGACTCGACTTCTAAATCTTTTTAATTTAAAGACATTGAAAAAATTGCAGTGTTCCTCAGAAACCGGAATACGAATTGGCAATTCGAAAAGAGGACACTTCCAACGTCATGAACACCAGAATGGACGTCCACATATTTTTCACTAGAATTCATTAAGACCTGTTTATCCAGAATACCTGCAGCGGACTTCTTGGACAACAAAAATATCACAGTAAGGGACCAACAGGAAACAACTGCAGTGACATTCAGAAGTTGGTTCCTTTCTTCTTCCCATCTGCACCCTTACCTTCGGCTCTTTCCGGAGTTGATAAGAGATTGCTTCGCTCCGTTCGATTAGTCTTCTTCGTGTCAAAGACAGGCACAGCGTGGAGCTTCAGGTACCCGTAAAAGTCAATGTGCCGGTGAGCAATTGGACGGGAATAACCTGTTCCTAGCTGGACGCATTCCTATCAAAAACATCTATTTCGAATTATCAGAATTAGTGGAAGATGCTTAAACGTACACTTTCGGTACCATTACGCTCTGTGCAAGCACACGATATCGTCAATCCATAATGGTAGAAATACATTCCACAGTTCATGCATCGGAAGTTGAAATGATCATTGGACCTGTTAAAAGGGAACATTAAAAATTCATTTGCAATATCACCGATCCATTTCTTGGAGTTGCGCACAACAAAGCGAGTTTTGGTGTTCCAAGTAATGTGACACCCAAAACACTTCCACAATAAGAGCGACCGACTGTCTGTAATGTTTGTAATTGACGGTACACGTAAGTCAAACGTGGACCAGAAAGGTCCTGGCTGTTGGAATGGGATCTAACACAATGTGCCCAAAACTAGGAACAGACCCATTTTCAACCCGAAAACCAGATGAATATAAGCCCACGGCAATATGGTTACCTAGTGGCTTCCGCTAGCGAATAGTGGATAATGACATACATGCCACACGTACTTCCGCAATGATAGAACAAAGCACAACGTCTAACTCTAAGTTCAGTACAACACGTACATTCTCGGATTTGGAAAAACTCACAGAAAAACGACCTTTTATAAGAAAAACTGATGGCATACATGGTATCACGACCGTAGTGCCTAGCAAGGTGGTCGTAAATAGTAACCATCGAGTAGGACTTTCCGGGTGCATGACATCCTGGCACGCCGCATTGAAAGCGTAGCTCCTTTCCGTTGGGAATGGACACCTGCAAAGATCTGGAAATGCCAAAGAATTTTGGTGCTTTAAAAACATTAAGAGCACCCTTTGCATTCTTTTTCACAAGCACTAGATCGGTTTGTTCGCAAAAAAAGCCTTCTTCACCCTGGAAAATATACTTCTTCTCGGTGCAAATTCATTAAAAACAACACTCGATCATGCCTATCAGCATACAAACGATATCAGATGGGTGAAAAAGGACGTGTTGGTCCTGCACAGAACGGTAAACACGAAGAAACGCTAAGCGTGTGATTACTCAGAGAGGTAGGCAGAAAAAAGGAAGAAGAATTACGGTACGAAATTAGGAATTTCAATCCCAACTCTTTTCTCCTTCTAGGACCGTAATAACCCTTTAAAAAAGTTATATGACAACGATGACAGTGAATACAATCTGACTACATGAGCCGGAATGATCCCATTTCATCAGCTGCTGGCTATCTTTTGGACCGATTCCACTGCATCCCTACCTATTCGGAATACGGTATTTCTAGAAAATCACATCAAAGCAGGCCTGATCTTAGAAAGAAGTATGGGTGAACTTTGAAACATATGGAAAATCAGAAGGGCGGCAGTGCACGAGCGTCGAATGGAGGAGTGAACATGCGGCTGCGACTCGTCGCCGCAATCGATATCGGCGGGTAGATCAAGGAGCGGGCACGCCTTCCTAAAGTGGTCGCCGTCTTGTGGTCGTTTTCCCCATCTAGCAAGTAGCGCGGATGATCAGGAGAGCAACAATAAGAATAGCGAAGGAGCATATTGTCAATTGTATTAAGAAAGCGATCATTATTGATTTTCTTCGTATTTTTGTTGAGCAAACGCGAGGTGTTACTATTCTTTGTTCACGATTAAGCTGACGTTTCGGCGGATTTCGCCTTCTTCAGAGCCTGGAAAGGTCAAGTTGATAGCAACTCACTCGGCCAGACACCTCCATAACCAAACAAAGAAACTCCAAACCAAGATTTCAATCACTTTGAACACAGCTTTGCACACTCACCGCTTCCTATGAGGTTTCCACTAAGTATGTCACGTAGAGACCAACCGCACAGAAATCACGTGGAAGTATAATGTGCCCCTCACATCGGAAAAGCAGTTTTATATACTGCCCTATATCATTATCACTATATCATTATCATTATTGATTGTGCATCATGTTCTCTTACACGCGGCGAAATCCGATCCAATGATGCTTCAGGGTAGGTCAAATTGTCGATCGGCATTCGATCGCAGAAAGACGAAACGAAGTCCTCTGCTTTCTTTTCCTGACATTAGAGCTGAAGTGAAATCAGGTTTTCATAGAAACTGTTCCATTCGAAGCTCTATGATCCTCTTCGTTTTCACTTGTCGTTGTCTCTTTGCATTCTTCATTGAGCATGCAAAATCACTGCCAGTGCGCTGACAAGAAGCGGCTAGGGAAGGTGCTCAAAGAAAATCATTATAAAAGAAACTTGTTAGTTGATACTTGAACGGCCAGTCCTCACTAGTTGTGCGGGCTCCAGCATAATCACCATTTTGCGGAGACTTGCTGGTTAAGCTATTGTCGTTCCCTGGAATCTCGAGGTCAGCCTGACCAAAGTCTGCCCCAGGTCTTCACCGCCACGGGAACTCGCAGCCCTTGTGAATCAGAGGGAGATTCGCCACCATGCGACTTTGATACTAGGACGGTGGTGGATCTTGGTATTGGCTTACTCTTAGCTACGCTTCCTAATGGAAACGTTGGACCCCTTCTCAGCTTGGGAGACCCTAGAAGGGGATGAATCTCCGCTGTACATCGCAGTCCGACACCCAGGATCACCTCACAGCCACGATGTGGCGGTAAACCGTTGGACTGTAAAAGGAAACCAAACCAAATGGCAGAAATAGTGGTGGGAAGCGAGAGATCCGCTTCAGCAGCAAACCACTAACCTCATTCACTCACCTTATTTGACATCACCGACTTCAGTAGAAGCGTCAACGCTTTCAAATCGATCTGTTCTCTTCCATGTGGTCCCATTAATTTTGCGTGGTCTGGAATGCGTTTCATTTCTGCGACATTCATGGTACCGTCGTCAGCTCCATTCTCTAGTGGTGTTCACTGTTCACTTTCCATAATGTTCAACTGTGGCTTTACAGTTCACATAAGAGTAATAATGACGAAGAAAGGAAAAATCTTACTGTGATGTTCGTGCATTATTCCGCCGCTGTTTTAGATCGCGGCTGCGTAGATGAGGAAAGCTTATTTTTTTATAAGAAGACGATTATAAATGAAAATACAAGTCACTGTAGCTCAATTAACTAATAGTAAATGGCAGAAATAGCTCCAATGCTTTGTCTCTAAATAATTTTTTATTGAAAGAGTGGATACGACAAGACGGATGTTCTTTGTTATTGCCGCTACGCTACGATCTCTGAGACTCTCATCTGAAGCTCATCGCTGGAGTGAACGATGACGAAGACCTTGCCACCTGCTAACACAACAGGTGAGTTATACCTTTTTATTTTCTGCCCACTATAATTTCGCGGCAGGGTACTAAGCGAAATACAACCACAACGTTGCTGAGATATTTGCAAAACTCTGGACCGCAGGTGTCTATGGTGGGGAACGAACGCGCTACTGTCCTTTCCGGGGAGTAACGCGTTCACCACCACACCATGAGGGTCCTTTGTTTCGCCTGTCTCTTAGCTATTTCTAGCTGGCGAAAGCGAAATACCCAGATCAATCCTGTTGACGGGTGATTGCTGATGGCAAAAGATCGATAGAAATAGCTGAGAGACAGGCGAAACAAAGAACCAGCATGGTGTGGTGGTGAACGCGTTACTCCCCGGAAAGGACAATAGCGCGTTCGTTCCCCACCATAGAGACCTGCGGTCCAGGGTTGTACAACAGGTGAGTGTTCATCGAGATGCAACCCACTCAAGAAAGTCTGGCCTGTCCGCTTTTCTGCACAACTGACAGTGTTTCTAAACACCACCTGCAATGTTTTCGTTTTCGAGTGGAGATCATAAAGCAACGGGAGATGAAATCAATATGAAATCACTGTGATCGATGCTTTTCATGTGTGAATGTGAGCATCCTGCACGAACTATTCTATTGATTGAGCTGTTCACATTAAGACATTCACGGCAGCGAAACGTCAAGGACTGTCGATAATTTTTCAATGAATGCAACAATTTGGTGAATAGAACGGTATACGGAAGAAACATCCATTGCGCCTTACAACTCTGGGACGCATGTTTTTATTTCATTTTTGTCCTACATGATCCTTCATGACATCTACTGCGCAGATTCGCGGATCCCAGCTCAGCTTACATTCGATTCATTTTCTTCGCACTCATCATCCACGGGTCTTCGGACACTTCACGTGTTTTTTCGGCTGCTACTTGTGGCGAGGGCAAGGACTCTGAATAAACCTGCCGTCTGTGTAGCGATCACCTTCTGCTTGAATAGTTTCTTCCATCCTTCTGACTCTCTTTAAGGGTGATCTGTGCCTTTCCTTGTTTTCATCAGAATGTGCCCATCATTGTTATTCTTCGACCTCGCGCTCGAGTTTTGTTAACATCGCGGCATCATTGTGGTTGTATTTCACATGGTACCCTTCCATGAGAAAGTAGGCATCAATTAAAAAATTAAACAGTGTTGATTTCTATTAAAATAAACTAAATTGATTAAAAGCATTGTTTATTTCTACTTTTTTCCTGCCTACTATTACTTTTCACGGTAGGGTGCAATGTGAAATAAATCCACTACTGTGTCGAGATATTTGCAAAACTGGACCTCATTTAAGATCGAACAGCGACTAACCTTTCCTTCGGCTCACTTGTTACTGATTTCACCAATGAGGCTCTTGCGTTGTCTTTCTCTCGGCCACTTTCCACTATTAATTTTGTATTTTCTTCAGTGTTCTTTCTTTACATAGTAATTCTAAAAGAATCGACACTGATTATGAAGAACGTTAGTGTGAAGTGCTGCAATATACTGATCGGATGCGTCCCTCATTACTGCGCATGATTCCTGCGTAGGAGGAATTCTATCTAATCGAATAACTTGTATTTTGAAACTTCTGAACTACTTGTTGATAATAGTGTGCGCCATATATGGCTCATAAACGTCAGTACTTTGTTCTCCACTTTTATTCATTTCCATTTATATACGTGCCGGCCGACAGATTACCGCACCTGACAAGTAATCGTAGAGTTCGATACCCAATCTACGATGTTCAGCAAGGGAGTATCCATCAGTAGGGTGTCCAAAGTTGGAAAGGTGTTTGGTATCTTCGAGTAAGCATCGTAGAGATGACTGCATATTTCGCCTGCATAGTTACCTATGGCAGCCTCCCGATAAGCAAAAATTTTTCTTCACTACAGTTTCTTGAAATGGCAGTGCCAGGAGTGGTCATTAAAACATGCTGGTGTTCACTGAGCGTTATGGGCTCAGGTTGAAGGTTTGCGATACTTTTTCGGACCTGGTTTCACCACTAGCTCAAGTTCCTCATGGATACATGGAATCCTGTGTCTTTAATGTTCTTCCCGGAATTACAAACCTTTTTTGGAATATCCCAGTTGAACACACACGAAAACGCTTTGGCCATAATGAGACATACGTAAAATTGTTCACATGACTATGCTGCATAGAAAAAGTTTCCAAGGCAGAAAAACTAGAAAACTTGCTAAATATTGCTCAGGGTCCTAAGATTATTTTGAGCCCGGGCGATTATTTTCGAAGAAAATATTGACACTCTTTAATTTGTAGCATTTATATGACCAGGAACAAAATGCTGTGAAACTATCGAAGTGATCCAATTTGGATTGAAGAGTAAATGCTATCGAATATCATTAAAATAATGGGCTTGAGTAATGAAGGGGTTTAAGGTAGAGATCAGAGACCGTGGAACCATCACACTAAGAAGGACACTGAAAGAGAAAACCTAGTTCAGAATGTTTACTTTTCATTTTCTACCTTCCAAAATTTTTAAAGCAGGGTATTAAGCGAAATACAACCACAATATTGCTGAGATATTTGCAAAACTCCGGACCGCAGGTGTCTGAGGTGAAGGACAAACGCGCTATTGTCCTTTCCGGGTGAGTAGCGCGCTCACCACCACTCCATGCGGGTCCCACCACACCATGCAGCTCGGAGTTTTGCAAATATCTCAGCAATATTGTGGTAGAAAGTTTAGTTTTCAAACAAAGTATTTTTGTCTTCTTTTGTTTTATTAGAATAATTGCCTATTTCCTTTTCTTCACACATATGACCTACTTTCTGTATTGTGATCATCAACCTTATAGAAAATGGAGCACATGTTCATTGACTACTTTCAATTAGTTTACCTCACATAGCGCAGTATTTGAAAAAATTTTACTTCGTTGCCTGTTCAGAGGATGCAGAATACTCCTAAGTCTTCTGTTCTATGTTGTACAATCAAGGTATCACCCTTCTACAGCGACATTAGCACCGACGTCAAAAAAGGAGTTAGGCAAGGCGACACAATTTCGCCGAAATTACTGTCACCCTACACGAAGTCATGCGAATTATCGTAGGCCGGCATGGGAGTGAAAATTGATAGTCGACAATTACTTTATCTTCTTCGTATTTTTGTTGAGCAAACGCGAGGTGTTATTACTCTTTGTTCCCGATTAAGCTGACGTTTCGGCGGATTTCGCCTTCCTCAGAGCCTGGGAAGGTCAAGTAGTGGTTTAGTGGAAACCTCATATAAAGCGGTGAGTGTGCAAAGCTGGGTTCAATGTGATTGAAATCTTGGTTTAGAGTTTCTTTGTTTGGTTATGG